TTTTTTTTTATGCATTCAAGAAAGTGATGTCTCAGTCAGATCACGTTTTTTTTCTTTTTTTCTTAATGTCACTGAGTGAAAAATGAAACAGTCACGCTATTTTCTAGATTATTTTTATTAAAAAAAAAAAAAAAAGATTGAAAGCCAAAATTGTAAATAGAAAGACCAGATGGTAAAACTATGGATTCAAATCAAATGTATACGACAAACAAGCTGCTTCTTTGAATATGCGTACTGACTTGGACTTAGTAGATATTTATAATTTATTATATTTAATTTATATATAGAATGTAACTTTTCCGGCATTCGTACGGGATCTTTTCACTCTTTCTTTCTCTCTCGCTATTAAAACGGGCAATGAAAGAAGAGACGAACGTCAAATAGAGCGAATAAGTATTGAATGTAAATACTTTTTCATGAGCGAATCGACTAAACGAAGTACTGCCAATAATAAACACATTTCTACTTTACTCCCGGCCTTGACTCCACTCAAGTCACAGGTAGCCTCTGACGCGCCACCATTCACCCACCCATCAGACATCTTTCAGCCGCTTTTATTTCACCACTTGAACTATTTACCTACAAGGGAAGGTCTACTTCACACGCGATACTTAACTGCAGAAAACTTTCAACTAGGTATCTACAAGCCGAGGAAATGTGTGTAGGGAAGGGCAGGTTTGTGTGCGTGTACTAACAGAGATCTTTTTAGTGTAATTAACCCCCACCCCCAAGAAGCAAGGGATCTCAACATTTTTTGCCCCACGCACTCTCACTATATATCAGAATAAATTAAATATCATTGTTCACTTTCAAGATTGTCGGACTAAAAAATTATTACATTTAAGAGAGATATATAATTTAAAATGGTTAAATGGCTACAGTTTGAACTTGCTTTTCTGTGTCCCCCCCCAATCACCCCGAATGGAGGAAGGGAGTCATTAAAAAAAAAAATTGTGCATTATATATATATATATATATATATATATATATATATATATATATTATTCATACCTACGGTATAAAGGGGATACACACATTTTATTACATAACAAAAAGCAAATCTCTCGTTGGGATTTCTATGAATCAATTGCGTACGCAAAACAAAACGTTGAAGAGATTTTTTTTTCTTCTTTATTAGTCATTATTTCTTACAAATATTATTTTTAGTGGGTATAGATGTTTGAGTTGCTATCCCAGATCTTTTCTGTTAATTCACTCCAAATAATGTAAAAAGTTACTTGTCACAATTATAAATTTTAGAACAGTCGTGTGAGTTCCTTTGGAGACGTAAGGCAAAAATAACAATGAATGAATTTTTGAACAAATTTTAAAGGACATTTCTGAATTTTGGTGTGAATTTTAGTAAATACAAATTCTTGGGTTTACGTGAACAAACATAAAAGATCTGTGTTTTTTTTTTTGTTTTGTTTTTTTTAAACAGTGAAATTAATAACAACTGCCAAGGGCCTTCCCTTGTGTACACTTAAAAACACATTCAACTGATACTCTGCCAGTTTTATGTTTTGTTCAGATGTGTAGAAAGGTTTTGTTTTCAATGTCTTTGCATTGTTTTATCAGTCATAGTCTTTAGTGTCTGCTCGGATTATTTAAAATTTATGACTATTCTGAATACAATTGTGATAGTTCTTTTAGTTACCTCGAATTAAAACATAAGCAAGTAAGATGAAAAAAGTTTCTCATTAAAAGAAATGATCGGTAACTGTAAGTATATGAATGACCCATTTATGTTAATGAAAGATTTAAAAGTAGCAAAAAAATCTTGGTAACTATGAAGGTTTGCTATCTCTGACCTGTTATATGAGAGATTGTACAGGTTGATCCGAAAGATTCATCACCCCTTACATAATATAATTTTCTATTTCAGATGGATGGCACGAAAATGATGATGTTCATATGTTATTGTTATTCTACAATATGGACCTTCTCGATGTGTGACAGCATTAATGAAAGTGAATCAACTGAATCCAGTAAATGTGCTTTTTGTATTACTTGTTCTCACTACATTTTGGTAGGGGATGACAAGACTTTCGGACCACCATGTATATCAATTATTTCCAAAAGAAATGTTATCAATTTTTCTCAGACCGATCCAATTCCCAAAATATGAGCTTGTGCGGATGGTGTAATGGACAGCAACTTGGAATACGAAATTAGAAAACTAACTTACATTCACTTACGCACAAATACTTTTGTATGGGTTAAAAAATTATTCTAATAAAAAAATATTCTTACAATCGAAAACGTTTCAACTTTAAACCCACAAAAAATTGTTAAACCCATACAAATGTAAATAAATCCCAAAATCTGAGCAAAATCACTGTGATTGGAAAGAGTGTTCTTTCATATAGTCAAATGCTAAATTTGCAAGATCTTTGCACTTATTTTTTATATTAGATTATTCATTGAATTAAAGGCAAGTGTTGAACTCCAGCTCATTATAAAGTTCAAGTTCCTACTGACGAAATCCATGAGTGGATGATACAGACATTGGGTGCTTGTCATACTCAAATGTGAAGAAAAAAAAAGAAAAAAAGACAGACCAAATTCCAACATGGTGATTTTGTGACCAAAGGTGCAGCTTGTTTTGCCTTTAATGATGCTAATTCCTGAAGTTGTTAGTTCATGAGCCTTAGTTTAACCAATCAACAAATCTCAGCCCAAAGAATAAACAAAATTCTAGAACAGGGATTCCTAACCATTTTTTTTTTTTGTGTGTCAACCACCACTTTCACATTGAAAAATACCCCACCCTTCCACCTGTATAGTAAATATTCAAAAGCATACCAAAATTGTTTGGTAAAAGTTTGTTACTGGTTCATAAACTGATTTTATGATGTGGTAAAAAAATAAATACCAAAGGAGGGTAACAAATAACACTGGTTTATGTGGCTGCTGCTATTACTGTATTAAAAAACAAACAAAAACAAACTTGACCATTGAAAACTACATAGAAAATACCAAAATATTCCTTGTTTGCAGGGGATATTTATATGTTATCTAGGAATGTGACCCAGTTATTGCTATTTAGTTTCCTGTTTACTTTTTCTTTTTTTATACACGTTCATTGCATATCTCTTTTGAATGTTTTTGGATAGCATATATTGAAATACATTTTAGATACTCAAAATCCTATATTGCCAACCAGTGGGTAACATAGCTCAGGTTGGGAAACTCTGCTCTAGAAGATTATTCAAGAAATGCATTGGGTTTATAACTGTCAGCCAAAATGTTTGAATACCAACCAGAAATTATATCTCGTAAACACCAAGTTAATATTGTAGCATTTTCATCAATCTACTGATAATGTTTTTGAAACGACTTATCACTGTTAATTAAATATGGCTGCAGCAGCATAGACCAGAGATCAAATAACAGTGCATACAGTGGTGGCACTTGAGTACTCCACAGACGAAGAAATTCAAGAATCAAAAGTCAACAGGAAAGGTCATGGCCACATTTTTAGAGATAAGGATTGTATTTCTTTAGAAGAGACAAACAGTTGCAGCAGAAGATATATTTAACTTATTGTGTTAATTTAAAAAAAAAAGATGAGAGAGGAAACTGCAGAAAAGGATTCTATTTTTGCAGGGTGATGTACATGTTGAAAAATTTGGAGGAAATTAAGCACATAAGATAACCTATCCTACATTGCTGCATTCTGACTATTCCCTATTTTAAAATCTCAAAATACTTTGAGAAGGAGAGATATTTCCAAATGATCCATGGGAGATTTTCTTATTTTTATTGTTGTTTTTCTTTTACAATGTTCACTCTGTACAAGGCCCAAGAGCCACTCCAGGTAAAGGGTTACATAGTAAGGGGCACAGTTTATGCAAATATGTGCGAAAGATAATGACTGACTCCAAACTTGAACAGGTTAAGATTGTAGTGATCAGGGAAGCATCCTCTTGGGAGTTAGTTCTGCAAAGTAGTGGTTCATGGGAAGAAGCTGCTTGAGTGAAACTTACATCTCACCAATGGAATATGAAAGGAATGTGGGTGGTTCACTATAATGTGCTTAACAAAACTTGTGAATCGATGAGCCAAACAAATGCACCCTATTTGGAATAGCATGTATGTGTTGTGGTTCAAGGTCATTTAAAAGAACATTTTAGCAAACACAGATTTTCATTTTTTTTTTTTGTTAGTTGCTTTTTTTTTATCACAACTTTACTCAGACCATTGATCTACATCAGTAATACATCCAACACAACACACCAGACAATCAAAAATAAAGCCTAAGCACACTGAGATTTCAAACCCACATCCCTTTTGTTCTGGGGAGACCTGGTGTTTTAAGCAATAAAGCTTCGAGAACTTCATGCTTCTCTTATTCAGGATATCATTTCCTTAGTGGTAAAAGTTAAAATGAAGAAAACAAAAATATTTCAATGTTTTGAGTTCAGAAAATACATAACTCTATAGCGTTGGGTTCGGGGGGTCTCTATCCCAGTGTACCCGACCGTCCCATCTAGTAATGTTGGAATACCCTATTGTGAAGAATACAGAATACACGTGTTAATATCTGTTTGTATTTTAATTCAGAGTTACATTTTTAATGACATAAAAAGCTTAGCTCATTCAAACAAGTAACAATTTTAAGCACAGCTTGATGACAACATGTGCACATATTCTCAGTTGACATAGAATTTGTTTTTGGTTCTTGCATATTGCTGGAAAATTCTGGTTCAAAACATCAATTGATGGATTTGTCTTTTATGGCTTATCAATCTTTTGCAGGTTTTAGTTAAAGCCGGAGAATAATTTTAGATTGCAAAAATTTGTGGAGATAATAACGAATTTACTGATACAAGTCCGTCTAATTATCCTATAGCTGGGTGGGGAGAAGGGGGTGGATTCATACCTTTGCCAAGGGTATCTGCGTATAAGTGAATATAAAGAACTTAACTGAAATTGGAACTCGGCTCTCTGATTTCAAATTCCAAGCCATTATCCATTACACCACACGCACATCCAAGCTTACAGAACCTGATATTCCCAATCAGTTACCAATCTAAGTACTGACCAGGCTCGATGTTGCTTGACTTCAGTGATCGTACAAGAACCAGAGTTTCAAGGTGATATGGCCATAAGCCTCAAAACTTTAAGTAGTCGATAGTAAGAAAATCAAATTAACGTGGATGGATGAGCAAACCAAAGTTGTTGGACTTTAAGAAATTAACTTTTTGTTTTAGTATGGTCCATTTGTTATGATTATGTCAAAATTCTAATATTTTATAAACCTTGACTAACCTCATAATTTCTCTTGTGTACCTCTAGGGATACGCATATCCCTTTTTTGAAAACTCATGTATCTTTCAATGTTGGCCCAATCTTCCCAACAATCTTTCCACTTTAAACAAAAAAGAAGTGGCAAACAAGAAAAATAAATGGCTACCAAGTGAATAGAGTCTCAGAACAACAACGCAGAGATATGGAGAAAGCTGGTCCAACTATACCCAATCATGGGATTGATGGTTCATGAGTTTTTTATAGTCAGAAATATTTCTCTTTACGTGTAGGTAGTAATTTAAAAAATATGTAATTTTAGAATTTTGCAGAATATTAAATAGCAAAAACATTCTTACGGTGAAAATACAATTGCAACATAAATAATTTCCTCACTTCTATTCTGGCACCTGCATGATGACTGACATGCTCAAAATGAGAATTCGAATTTCACTCAGACATTTGTAAATGACATGGGAAATGCAAAATAGATGAAATAATACAAAGTAAAGTTGGTGGAAAGATAAAAATTTGTCAAAAGGTAAATGAACAGCGAAAAACCAAAAGTGTTTGGGGTTTCTTACAACATAAATTAGACAACAATGCTCAAAAGCTCATATAAAAATGAAAGTCTGATCAAATAGGTCGATGAAAAAAATAAGAATATTTCTAATATACACTAATTTGAACTGTATGATGTAAATGCTATGTCTAGCCAGTATTAACCAGAAACTTTTGGAGAGAGAGAGATACTTTCTGAGCAAGTGAGTGCCAAGCAAGAGAGAGAGAGGAGAGAAAAGGAGGGGGAAGAGAGAGAAAAGGAGGGGAGGGAGAGAGAGAAAAGGAGGGGAGAGAGAGAAAAAGGAGGAGGAGAGAGAGAAAAGGAGGGAGGGAGAGAGAAAAAGGAGGGGAGGGAGAGAGAAAAATTAGGGGAGATATGGCAAAAATAAATTAAAAACAGAAAAGGAGAGAGGAAAAGATCTGAAAAAGTAATAGTAATGAAGAAGAAAATTAAAATTATAAAATATAGAAGAAAACCCATTTTGGGGGAGGGAAAAGATCAAAATTTACAAATTAATTGATTAATATAGTATATAACATCTAAGTGTGTATTATAATGAGACAAGTGCTTTTTTTTTTCTCATCTCAGCCACAAAAGAACTCATTCCAACAAAACAGAAGCCTCACATGCTCTTGTATGTCTAACTAGACCAGCTGTCATTTTAGCAACAATGAAACAGTTGCAAAATTTTATGCATGCACACACAAAAAAAAAAAAAAAAAAAAAAAAGAGAGAAAGAAAGAGAGTGAGAGAGTATTTTTATGACTGGGCAATTTTGTTTGATAATATCAATTGGCCAGAAACGAGTTAATGAAAAGAAAACAAATTAAGTTGAAACCAAACATTTCAATTTAGAGTTTTAAAAACACTACAACTAGTCCTAACATTACAATTATAAAACAAAATTAACTTTAGAGTACATTCTCTAATTTAATTTTCCACATTTACAAAGCATAATTGCACATTGCAAAAACAAAAAACTACTGAAACAAATAGACACATATGGATTCTTTTTTTTCTCAGAAATCTGAAAAAGATATACAAAGGTACTGAAAAGTTCTCAGCACAACCAACTCCACAATATTTGATCAAGTAATCAAGCATCAGAATGTATTTTAGGAATCTTTTCTTAATCTGGCTGAGAATTCATCAACACCTACTATTATTTAAAAAAAAAAAAAAAAAAACGTAGTTTAATATTCATTATGCTGTAATTTTCTGCAATAACATTTTTTTAAGTATTCATCATATCAATACAATATTTATCACATTTAATTTGATGTTATATGCATGATAAACATGTCTAGAATGATCAATGTGTCCAAAGTGACACCTTCATGTTTTTTTTTACGCCATATTTTTAGTGCAATGCCTTATAATAGAGTTTATTACATGCAGGTCATTGGCATTTGTTAATTCGTAGTGGAGGAAAAATCTAAGTGCATAGCCTAATAATGAAATAAATAAATAACAGAAAAAGAAACAATATACACAACAAATAGTTTTCAACATAACAACTTTCAATATACTTCAACTTATCTGAACTAGTCTTTGATTTCGGCAAACTATTCTCTGATCATCTTCAGGTATCCATTTTTTTTTTTTTTTTTTAATTATATCTTGTGTGTGTTGTTATTTATTTTGTCCCAGTGATGCCAGTTCTTGTTCGTTCCTGCTAAATCAAAGTACATTGTTCAACTACCTGAACCAGGAATTCATCTTAATAGCACATGATGACATCAATAATGATTATGCATTGTGCCATGGGTAAATTGTCACCATTTTACATTTTTAATTTTGTGCAGGTGTGTTGTTTGTTTTTGATTTTGTTGACTGCATAATATAGTAAGGTCAGTTGGGCACTGTCTGTGAGAAAAAGAGCACCATGACACAATTCACTCCACCATGCCTGCCAGAAGCTCCAATACAAACATTTCAGAGTGTTTGAATGTCAATCTGAAGACAATGCAGAGGATGTGGAAAGAGTTTGATGAGTCTAATGGTGATTACAAAGATACAGCAACTTGGAAAACTCATTCTGACCATTCTGAAAAGAACTTACAAATTTGTGAGTTCCTCAATACAGAGGCCTACATCAAGTGCCTTGAGGAAGTAGTGCTACCCAGGGTCAAGAGGGTGACTGCTAGAAGACCCTATGTTTGGCAATAGGACTCTGCAACATGCTACACAAGCAGAAGAAACCAGTCATGACTGTCAGGCAATTTCTGCAACCACATCACCCCTTACATCTGGTCACCTAACTCCCCAGACTGCAACTCCCTTTATTTTTATATATGGGGCGCAGTTGAGCAAGAGACCAACAAAACTCTTTATAACACCAAAGATGAACTAAAAGCAAGGTTTATGGCAGCATTCAGCAAGGAAATCATCCAGAAGGATTGCAGGAGATTCTAAAGAAGTCTACAGGCTGTAGTTGAAGCCAATGGTGATTTTATTGAATAAATTTACTCTTTAGTATTTCAAGACATTTTTGTGTAATTTTGGTAAATATATCTGTTAAAATGAGATGATGTCAGTGTTATTTACATTTTTGCATAATTTAGATGATAATTTATCCATCGCACTCTATGTATCCAAGGAAGAATATCAGTGGCCTATTTTTTTAATGCCTTTTAAATCCAATGACAGATGTTGTCGATATTTGGTTATCACAACAGGTCTGTATCACTTTAGATAATTTTGTTTTACTTTTGAAATGCAGGATGATCAATATAATTCAGCTTATTAAAAAATAAATAATCTAAACTGGCTATATCTTATACACCCCCAAATAATGAATATCTGAAGATCGCCAGAGGATATTTAACCAAAACGTTGTGCCTATAATATGTATGGCAATTAAAAAAATGTTTATGTCAAAGTATATTGATAAATGATCATTTCAGAAATCAGGCAAAATAATAATAATAATAATTCCCTTCTTTGCCAATTTGATATATGTCTTGGGTTAGGTTGACCCTATCAGGTGTAGCTTTGACATTTTATTTTCAATACAAAGGTAAATCATAGTTAAAAAGCTCCAATAATATATTATGGTATGTAGATTTGTAGGATAGTGTCCAAAACAAAAGTGGAGATAATGACACAAAGTGAAAAAGTTATAAATGATGCATTTCGACCAGAGCATCTGCTTCTTCAGCTTTAAGTTAAAATGAAAGAGAAAATCGTATGCAATGAAAAATGCATTGGGATCTCATCCTCAGAGATCCCAATGCATTTTTCCTTACATACACTTAAAATGTGTTGTTTTCAGCTTTTCCACTTTGTCTCATTATCTTCACATATTATGGGATAACAAAAATTCTTTTTTTTAACAGACATTTACTCCAAATGTTATTTTATATACATGCACACAAAAAGACTCCCTATATTATTAACATTATACTAACTTACCTATACTTATTTTTATTGCATATTAATATATATTACTTATATTTAACTAATTTTGTAGTAGGTTATATTTTCTACATGAGTAATTACAGTTAACTCACAATTAAATCTATTTTCACATCGAACAAATAATTTGCTTTTTAATTCCTAAAAAAGAAAAAATAGCCAAAGAAAGCTCACATAAAACAAAAAACATAAAAAAAAAACAAAATAAAAACCGCCTAATCACCCTTAATTACTAATGAGATATTTCGTTGTTATAGTAATATGAAGCAAGTTTGCTTATTCACAAGAGAGTAGTATCTCCTGTTACCATAACAACGAAATATCTCTAAGTGCAATGGATGAATATAAAAGATTTTGTGTTTTATATTATAGACTAAGTACATCAATATTATTCAGCAATACATTTTGTTTCAGATGTTATAATAGCAGATATAAGACTTTACAATTTTGAAACAGGGCCTAACAGGCTACTAAAGCTGCTCACAAAATTTGGGAAGTGGAATGAAATGACCTTGAAATAAAACCCAGAAATGGATGACCATCAGTTTTTGATTATGATGCTTTATAGTGCAAGTTCGAAGAAAATTACACCATTAAAACTGTTAAGCGACTAGCAGCTGAAAACTTTCAAACCTCAGATCTTTAATTATGCGTAAAGCGAAAATATTTTTGATGCGATTCCAAGAGCTAGAAATACTATATTCTAATAATTATACTGTCAACAATCATATCTTCATATATAAACACATTTGGACAAGAAAGAGAGCAGAAAAAAAAGAGGGAAGGGGAGATTTTAAAAAAAAAAAAAGAGGAAAGGAAAAAGAAAAGGAAAAAGAAAATCCCTACATGCAGCTTCATAATATGTAGAAAATAGAAATATGAAA